TCTAGAAATTTATTGTAGAGACTATAGAATCTACAGTGCGCCTCGCACATAAGTTAACTGCGCAGACAAATTTCATATGCTGAAATGCAAGTAGGTAGCGTATATATGATTTTTTTGCGCACACAGTTGAAAAAAATTGCAATACTCATGTGTCTTTGTTATTCAGTGCTACATGTTTCCTTTGTATTACATTGTTGTGTAAAACAAAGAACTTTAAGGTTTGATGCATCTTAGTGAAGTTCTGCATATTATACTGTGCAATTATGGGGCAGAGAGGAAGTTGACTGAAATTAAAAAACTAGTTGATTTAGATGACATGTGAACCACCAAGTATTACTCATTGACCAGTGAAAATGTAGCAGCTAAACAAAAATTGAAAAGTCATAGTAGAGAAGCTTTCCATTTACATGTATTTCATACAGCAAATAGACCTCTTCCATATTGGCAATATTAGCAATTTTTAGGCTAGTAACTACATGAGGTGATTTAGATGACGTGTGAACAGCTAAGTATTGCTCATTTTCCAGTGAAAATGTATCATCTGAAAGTAAAAATTGAAAATTAACAGTAGAGAGGTTTTCCACTTACGTGTATTTCAATCAGCAATCAACCACTTCCTATATTACCAACCGTAATTTCTATCTTTTTGGTGTGTAATATGTAAATTGGCCCTCTCTCCTGTTGCTCTTTCTAGAAAAATTAGCTTATTTCAAAACATGTTGTCTAGGGGCCACAAAGGCTGATTTACATGGATGAAAAATAATATAAACGACAGTTGTCACTTCTGAAAGCATTCTATGATAGCACAAAAAGATTCTACAACCTCATTTTGTTATTTCTTGACATGAGAGGTATTTCTTCCAAACAGTGAGTTATATAATCTCATTTTCAATACAAACTCAGGCATAGGACTCTCAGTGGAGGGCACCTCAAAGAAAACTATGAAATAATTCCATGTGTTTAGAAATGCACACGTACAAGGTTTTGTTTCTGAATTAATTCCATGGTCATGAATATTTCATAATCGAGGCATATTTTCAGGAGCCCTAAAGCTAAAACCAGTCAAACCAGAAGCTTCTTGAGCTGACACATTTTCTTCTCCTCATTCAAGCTCAACATTTGTTGCTTAAGTAACAATATTGAACTCTGCATAAATGCCACATCACAATTAAACAAAAGAGGAAAAAAAAAAAGGTTATGGAAAGCAGGACTTTCATACAATACAAGGCTTGAAATAACAGCCTGCCAATGGACAATGTGCAGTTAAAAAAAAAAAGTTGATCAGCCAAATCCTTGGGTTGCTAGACATATGTTATCCACTCATACATGTTTTCATAAAAATAATTTACATAAGAACTAGACAAGGTACTTGTAATAAAATTTCTACTATGCAGAATTAAGAATTTGCACAATGTCATCTAGTCATGAATCAAGTCTATGTCAGATCAGGTCAAAGATTTTTGCTACACTAATTACTCTACACAATGGCCCATCTACCAGGATAATTTATGCAGCAACTGTTGTCAACAAGCACCACAAGCAAGACAAAAGCCCCCAAGGCTAGGAGAACCACTTGCTCCCCCTAAAAGACTTACTTAGGAATAACTTTAAACCAAAAGGCTTCAATAGTTCTTCCTTGTTAAATAGAACAAATGTTAGACAACATCAGCAAAGCTAGAAATTTTTCAAATAAAAAACATCCTAATCCAGAGAAATTAAGAATTCAGCAAACCTTCTTTCTAATTCCTAAGGGATGACTAATAGTGCCAACTTTCAAGTTCACCAGAACACATTTTTCATCTCAAAGATGCTTTATTTTTATAAGTAGAAGTATCCAGCAGATTGAACACAAGGAGTCTTAGATTGCTTGCAGCATCATAGAATCATAGCTAATAAAAGTGGCAAAGCATACAACCAGAATCGCTATGAGGCAATGTCATTCCATTTTGATCCTTTACACCTAACATCAGTATGCATATTCTCCATACTGTTCTCCATATATTTCCTTAGGTGCTGACAAGGAGAATTTGTTTAACCATCAAGAGCTTCTTTAGTTGGTGATCATTTCCTTTATTCTTGTGACCTAACTGTATTTCTTCAGCCAAGCCATTTTTTCAGTATTTGACACAAAAGTATGAGATTTTTTCACGAGAAATGGGATTCGGCTTATAGCCGCAGGTTTGGGATTCAAAAAAAGAGTACAATTGCAAATTTAATGTTAATGCAAAATTACCATGAATTCTGTGACTGTAGCGCTCTTTACGTGGCATGTTTTAAAATTGTCATGACAACAACCTATTTCTGACCACCAATCAGATTCTTTGCTCCCCATGCATTAAAAAACCATCTCACTCAACTTGACAAAACCCTACTCATTTCACTTTACAAATGACATATTTGGTCTCTCTGCCGTAAAAACCACTCCATCACTTGCTCATCTAGTTCAGGATACTTGGGAGTGAAATGGCCCATTTTTGCATGTTTTGCAGACATTTTAAGCTTGCCAGAAAGAATAGTTGCCTGATCTCTTCTCCGAAGTGCAACGCACCATGGACTCGCTAGGTCCATAATTTCGAGTGATCTCTGAATGGTTTTCTACAGCTTCAGCCTCTGTGATAACATTCATCTTGAAAGCCATAGTATATAAAGAGCAGTGTGCTTTTGGCATGATGGGAAAATTAATAACAGTGATGAAAAAAATTGAAATTGAAATCGATTGAAACGCTTGTCATGTTACTGTAACTGAGAGTATTGTTGTGTTTCTGCAGTCGCATAGTAGTATTTACATCTTCACTGACTCGATTTTTTTCATTTGTGTTTATTTTAATTCATTAGCTTTTGTGTTCAGTGAGCCATTTCCAATGTTTCCCATGAGGTTTGCTAACTCAAATGGCCAGTTACAATCAAGAATTTCACTCTCAGCTTATAGCCGATGGTTTTGCTTTATTTTTTGAACAACACAAGCCTGTTGGAAGGTCTCTAACTTTTAGGGTCTGAGCTTATAAGTGAAGAAATATGGTAACTGTTTGATTCTGGGATGATATTGTGAGGAGAAATTAGAAGCTAAAGGGTCAAATAAATTTTCCAAAACACTCAGTGATCATACATTTTAGCCTCACAAGCTCTTTATTTATAGTTCAGCACAAAAACCTATAGTGTTTATTAGGTATTAGAGATGGGAATATTCTCTGCTTAGTATGCAGAATTAACTGGCTCAATTTAAATGGCCTGAGTTGTTTGTAATCAACATTTTAACTCCAATGAGTGACCAAAACAGAATTTCTCCTTACAATATCACTACAATATAAAACAGATAAGTGATGAGAAAAAGGAAGTAGTAGATCCAATACCAAATTCTCCAAACTAACAATATAAGAATCATATAGCACACAGTGAGGAGAGTTACTAATAAGATCTCGGGAGCAAAAAGGTTAATGGTGATGGGGCCAGTGTCTCCACAACAACAGATGAGGTTAGTACCAGGGTTACAGCTATGACTTATTGGTCACTCTGCTGAGCCACAACAAAATTATTTTTGCCATCTAGTGTACAAAATTTATATGGGCATGCTCACTAATTTTGAGGGTTGAAAAAGAATTCTGCAAAAATTGAGTGAAAAATGGGAAAGCATCTATCTCTTAAAAAAAAGATTGACTTCACACTGATCAAGAGTTTAAAATTTGATCATTCCATAGGGTTGGATTACACAGTTCTATTTATTTTGTGTGCTATTTTGTGTTTACAACCATTCTCGGTTAGAGTCAATTCATTGAGTTAAAAAAAATGGAACTACTTCTTAGGGAAAGATGTTTTTCATCTTGTCATGAATGTAGGACAAAGAAAAAAATTTGAGTCCCCATGAGGAATCAAACCTCAGCACTTAAAAACTTAACACCACTCTTCTCTCTTAGTCTATTTACAAACATGATGCTACTGACATTGCTGACCCTAGCAGTATGCAGGACGTGTGTCATATGAACTTCGTAATAGACCTCGCTCACTGTAGTCTCTATGGCTCAGTGGTAGAGCATTGGAGCATGGAATCTGAAGGTCTGAGGTTCAATTCCTTATGGGGACTCAGAATTTTTTTTCTCTGTCCCGTGCTTGTGACAAGATGAAAAACATATTTCTCTATTTCTTTACTGAGCTCAAAACTTAACATCTCTCTTATTCTATATGCAGAATTACTTCTTGTTATGCATTTTTCATAGAAAGTGAATGTTTCCTCTAAATGCTTGTAAAAATCAACAGATGAATTTTTCTTGAAAGAGGTTGATGAAATTAAAGATTTTCATTTTCATTGGAAATCAAATCACAGAAATTAATGATTTCATTGTCAGATGCACACAATTAAAGAAAAGGAAACTCAAATCAGTTAGGTTTAACGTCTTTAAATCGGCCATGTGGAGCTATACAAATCAAAACACAAAGGAAATTTCGATCACATAAATCTCGCTCTATGTTAACACTCTGAAAAGATTACAATATCTTTTTCGTCCGTACGTGACCGAATTCTCTTTAACGATATTCAAATCTATATAATGGTCATCCATATATAAAGTAAGAGTCACATACATGCAGTCTGGAACTTCATAATACAATATCGATTATTAAACAAATTCTTAAAGAGTAAAATATGCCGTACGGCATGAGTGGTAAACCTTGTATATCTTTTATGAAAAGCTACCTTTCGAACTTTGAGAAAAGAGTATATAGAAGTAAAGCCAAACGATTGAGCAGTGATCTCGAGTGATGTCAAATACATTGACTTGAATCAAAGCATTCAGAATGGTGCAAATGATTGTGTTACATCACATTATATGACATTTGAACCCGACTTGAGTTTCAAAAACGCATTCGTAAAGTTTCCAGATAAAAAGGGAACAGTACGTATGACTACAACTAAGAACCTTCGGCAGATTGCTTGACAAAGGTAAGCTATCATCTCACGCTACCAGCTGTATCACTTGATTACTGATCAAACAAAAACTTTGACTTACCAGCATCACCGCCTGTTCTCGATGTCGGCCCACCATGAAAACTTCCGTCTAAGATCGTGGCACGCAACTCTTAGGCTTCACATGGATCAAGAGGCAGCATGTATGAGATCTCTCAAGTCAAGTGCGTCACAATAAACACCGCAGAATGAAGAGAACTTCCGCTCACACTACCAATATGGCGGACATCTATTGTTATTGGTACTCAGTCTCCACCTAATGTTCGTGCCTGGTTCGTGTCGATAAGAAGCATGGGTCGAGGGGTGAGCCTTGCCTCTTATTACTGAATAATTAAACACGATTTTCTTTTGCTGAGTTGTTTTTAGTACTTATTGCATTTGAAACTTCCAAAGATAGGGAGCAAGTTGCTTTCTTTTACTTTGACTACATCAGAGAGAGCCGGCGAAGGACACATTTAGCCATGGTTATGTTAAGGTTTTTTCATGCTAGGTCGGCTGTCGAACATAGTCTAACATATCACGCGCCCGAGTCGCATTACATCACGATAGCTATTTCGGTAGTATCAAGCCTTCCTACAGATACACTTTCAGTTCCACTGTTACCAGGTTACACATTGGCTATTTACACTCTGAACAACCTTATATACCTTTTTTTGAAGTATTCAGTCAATGATAGAATTTTAACACTTTTCCCTTTGAGTATGTTCACACATTAACCACGAGTACATCTTACTGACCGAGTTCGAGATCTTTAATGCGATTTATGGGCCATGCGCTAAGCAGGTGAGAAAACGACGAATGCATAAATAGATTATAGAGTGCAATACAGGTTATAGAGTGCAAGACGGAAGTTGCTATGGAAACAGAGGGGAAGCGCCGAATTTGAACACCAAATTTAAAAAAATCACTCGTGCCCATAAATCACGAAATATACGTTCACACGATTTCCTATGCAAATAACCCAGTAGAGTGGCTGTATAAACTTAGGCCTGGTTCCTACCCACCACTTCCTGTCTTTTTTCTTTTTTGCCTTCGGGTTTTTTCTACGAGCTTTTTCTGGCCACTGTTTAAACTACCACAATGATTGTAAGTGGTTGCTCGGATCTCGGTTTATTTGATTTGAATGTACTGCAAGATCTACGGCTGCGAATATAATGATTTCGTATTTTAAGTGGATTGGTGCTCGGCCGAACAGTGCAAAACAAACCTAATGGTTCAATATTTGAGCGGTCTGCTGTTTCTTGAAAGCTGAAATCTACCGTTTACAAAGATCTCTATCATGATGCTCTTTACTAAGATTTGCTTTAAAAGTAAAATAATTCAAAGAAAAAAAAATAAAAGGAAGAGAACTAATTCACAGGGCACGGGTCTACGCCAACTGGACTCTAAAATGCACCTGTTGTGCTGATTGCCATCTTTCTTGGTATCTTCCCTCGCTGACAGAGGTCATTGATCTTGAGGTAAAGAAGCGAGTGACGGATTTCAAGAGCGATTTCTGAAGTACTCACCAAAACGGAGGAATTTGTACGCATGGGTGCTAACAGCCGTAGAAAAAGCACAAGCTTGGAGAATGAGCCAAGCAATGCAAATAAAACAAGAAGAGACTGGGACGAATAAGTTCCTGCCACAAGTTTACATAGGTTTTGGACCTGTTCACAATTCCAGTTTCTCACTGCAAGCTGCGTAACGACAAGAGCTTCAAGCTCGGTATAGAAGAACTGCACTTCTGAAATTTGCCCAAACTTTAGTGAAACCCTTACGCGTCAGAGAGAGGTAGCTGAATGTAACTTTCGTTCCCTTCGTAGAAACGAGGTGACACTTTTCACAATCATATCACGTGATCTGGGCTCCTCCTTCCCGGTTCACTATAATCCATGATAGGACTTAAATCCTGAGATTGCTGTTTAGCTGCATGATGACTGAGTAGATCGTTGGAAACAATTACTCTGCTCCATGATACGTTCGGCTTGTTGTTAATTATATCAGATGTCTTAAGTTAGAGTACTCAGTACTTGTGCGTTCAATTTACCACTGACACAACCTCGCATTTTTACAAAAAATTTGGGACGCAATTAGCAATATCTTTTTGTTCTCGGTGCAGCCATTTAAACGTTCCAATCGCTTATGAATCGAAGTTGCAAACTCGATCGAACGCAGTTGAACTTATCTTGTGTTTAAATAAGATGCATGCAAAAATTTCAGCATGCACATTGGCTATTCCATACACTGCAGAAAGTTTGAATTGAGTGCAGAAAGTTAGAATTGAGTGCAGACAATTGAATTAAATTGACCGACAGGTAAGTCGTGAAAGCACAACAAAACAAAATGGCCGACAAGTTGGGAGGAAGTAATAACGTATTAACTTAGAGTTTAAAGGACAAAACACTGAACAAAGCACAAACAACTGGCTAAAAGCCTGAAAGTCTTGGGCTTCCATAAACAGCTCTGACAAAAGTATTGAAACGCACGAACCAGAGGTCCTAAACAAAATTCTTTGGGAGTTTACGCCAGAGTTCGAGCGAAAGACAAGGAAAATTTCGGGCATACCGGTTACTCTATTAAGCGATACCTTACTAAGAAATGAATAAAGGGGTAAGTTTCTAAAGAAACTGTGGTGCTGCGTCGGTGGGAGAGTATAGCAGGTAATTTAGTGTTAACAACTGGGTTGAAAACGTAAATTAGCCACCGTAAAGGGTAAAAAAGCTGACGTTTCGAGCGTTAGCCCTTCGTCATAAGAAAGATTGCAAACGCTCGATTATTTATTACAGAAGTTTTAAAACTTGAGCAAGTTCTTGCAGGAACACCCGACTACTCCGGAAACAACATAAAGGCAAGGAGCCGAACTAATGAGAAATGACACAAAACAAAAAATGTAACAATATTTTTTCATGAGAGGAAATGGGAACAAAACATCGCTGACCGAATACAGTGGTGTCGCGTCCTAAACCGGAGGGAGTCACGTGATCGTGTTAGTGTGACACATGATGACAGAGATCGCAAGGTCGCCGAGGTTAGTGCATGTTATCCATGTCGCGGGAATGATTTCACAATATTCCAGTGGGTTTTAACTTTAAGATGTTACGGTAAGTTAGATTTTGTAAAAGAAATTTCGTTACTTACTTCATAGCTATTCTTGCACGATCATGCGGCGGCAACACGTACGTGTGAAAGAATATTGCGTGGACATGATCCTCGGTAGCTTTTGAAATCTACTTTGTAACTATTTGAAATATATTTCTAATTGTTATTTATAACTTTTTCTCAACTTTTATATCTTAAATTTAGGTTAAAGTCCGTGAAGTTATGGAAGAGATTCCATCGAATGCTCGCAGTTGGAACCTGACTACATCAGAAGTACGTCATCGGATTTCAGGATCAATGCTCTTTAAGGTTTGCGAACTATTTCATTACGTTAGTGGTGTTAAAATTTCAAAGCCACTGTTATTCTACTGCATTATTCAGAAGAAGCTTTCTTTCCTTTAAGATGCTTTGATGATCTTTTTGATCTCGGCGTATATGGTTTATCTGAAATTGACAGTTGCATGATCGCCACCCTCTGAATTGGCCGAAACAGTCTCAATTATTAGATTAGATTAGATTATCTGTCGCCGACGTACATGTTCGCGAGATCAGTTTTTGAGAAAGAAGAACAAAAGGTGTTGATAGTCCGTTGTTTGGTTCTCTGCGCAGTTAGGATAATTTATCGGTTTTTAGGTTGATATGGAGGTTTTCATGATCACAGAACTTAGTCTGAGATAAATCACACTTAAGTATGGATGCAACGTACCACACAGTGACAATGATGTCAGAAAATCGTACTATTTCATCGCTCAAAAACCGGTTTGCTACTGTAAAGAATTACCTACAGCCTTTATTTTGAAAATGTCGGCCATTGCATACTGTTGTTGCAACAACATAACTTTTTGCGGGAAAATCCGCCATTTTGAACGAATGCCGGTTGTTTTGCCAACGCCCATATGCAAGTTCGCCAGCGTCCGAAATAAAGCTTTTAGCTGAAAATAATTGTCAAATATATTACTAGGAATTTACCTAAATGATTCAGACAGTTGCTGTTACTTCTTTCCGGATGTCACTGAACCTTTATTGAACCTTTAAATTCTCTTCAATCCCTCCTCAAATTTTAGCAGGTTACATTATTGTTGCTCATTTTCTTTTGTAAAGTTGGTGACATCTAAAGGAGCCGTTTTTTTTTTGGTGGTTTTTGTCGAGTTCTTCAGTTCCCATGTGTTGGGCCTTTGAGATGAGAACAGGTTCTAAGCAGCTGTGTGGTATCTTCTTTGTCGTCTTGTGCTTCACCAAGCTGTCAAATGGCATTGCTTGTAGGTTTTCACACTGCTTCTGCTGGACTTGTTTCAGTTTCCTGTTTGAGGAAACACCTATTTCAGGAAACATCTGTTTCCAACCTTGTGGGGATGGTTGAAAGTCTCACCTCTCTATCTAGGAGCTGGATTAAGCAGTATAGCAATAATCTGCACTGCCCACTTGCACAGCCATTCAGAGCATTGTGCCACTGCTCATTGTTGTTCATTCTGATGGCCTACTTCTAGATGCTCCAGTTTTTGGGTGGGGAAACTGTACTTTCAATCCATTGTTGTTTATTGTAGTTGACAAGTTGTGAAAGGCTCAGTTAAGGCTTCAACTTAATGGTGATAGAACATATGGTTGATCTGTTGGGTTTGTGGTCATTTTTTTTCATGGTCAGATCATTCCAAGTCAGATAGATCCACTCAACAGTCAGATCTTTCCCCAAAATAGTCCGTTCATTCCACATATAATTCATATTTTCTAAATAGGTAAATATGATCTGAGTACAGAGTAGCAATTAGAACATAGACAAAAGTATTTTCAGAACTTTTTACATAATAGTGAGAGCATTGTTTGGTAATTTCAGTCTGCATTGCAGAACGACATGAGAACTATTCACATCATAGCAGGAGCTTATGTTTGTCAATTTTTTACCACAACACAGAACAAAGGATGTTCAATAAAGTACTTTGTAGCTTGCATGTTTGTTAGCATGCTTGATGTAAAGTGGTTTTAGAATTAACATTATCCATAGGAAAAATTTTCCAAAAACACATGATTGGAAAAGTTAATGGTAATTTAACAAATCTCATTAACAAATCCATTAATGGTAAAACAGAATCCTTACCATTCATGGAAAACCTAGAATAAACATTAATGGACATCAATGAAAATCCATGATGTGT